TTCCAGAAAGCGCTGTAGATCAGTTTCAGAAGATGCAAATTAATGAAGATCGTCTGCAAACAGTAGTCTTCTCGTTTCGACATCGCCAACATTGGAACACTCATCGCCTTGGTCCTCCTGACTATTTTATCCATGTACAACAGAAACAAGAAAAGGGGTCAGGACGCAGCTTTGGCTGAGATCAGTGCCAACATTGAAAGGCTTCGACTTAATGCCATTTATTCTGACGCAGCACCTGCCATCAGAATACGGTGACTGGATGGCCCTTAGCAGCTGGCCATCTCGTATGCTCGCAGGCATAACGAACAGACTGTTGCGTGGGATCCGGTCATAGGCTTTCTCTAGGCCAACAAACCAGATGAACACCGGATTGGTGAACTCTCAGAATTTCTGAAGAGTGAGGCTTAGGGTGAATATCTGGTCAGATGTGCTTCGACTGGACCGGAAACCACACCACTCTTCGTGTATACTGGAGTCAGTTGCTCCGTGGCACCTGTTTTGTAGCACCTTTCCGTAGATTTTATCCGGGAGGCTGAATAGTGTAATGCCCAGAAGTTGCAGCACTTCATGTCGTTTCCCTTCTTGAACAGGGATACTACAGTCCGGTTCTCCGGTGCGATGGTGTTTTCCCTGTAGCCATTTCAGTTTGACAGACACGTATATGCCGCACAAGCCTTGCCCACGTACTGCTTTAAGTATTTTAGGGCGGATTTCATTAATTACAGCGACCTTTCCACTTTTCGAGCTTTTAGCAGTTTGTGTGATTTCATCCACAGAAATAGTAGTATCTGTTTCCTGATGTTCTACAGCTGAGTCTTCCTGTGGTTGCTTGGGGTTAAAGAGTTCCTCAAAGTGCTTTCTTCGTTGCGGAAGAATATTCGCATCTTCGGTAAGAGGGTGTCGAGATGTTTCCTTTAGGATTGTTAGACTGCCCTTCTTTTCATCCGGAGATGATAGCCGAACTGCTTAAATACCTTGCTTGCCCTCTGGAAATTGGAGTCCAGCACCTCACAGAACATCTCCCATTAATCAGCTTTGGCTTTTGCCACTGTATTCGTTGCTGCCTTGCGTACTTCTGCATACCACATGCGAGTTGAAGGCTGTTTTCTTCCAAGCCATTTCTTGAATCGATTCTTTTCGGCAGTAGCCAGTGGTACCTCTCTCATTCACCAGAAGGTTCATTTTTGACCTGCAGGAGGCAGGCCATTCGCCTGAATCCGCAGCATTTCGCGGCAGCCTTGAATATGCCGCTTTTAGAGTGCCACCATTGACATCAGTGGTCATCACCGGGATATGTTCAAACAGCTGTGCGATGTTTGCAAATTTCGCTGTCGTATTCACTGAAGATAATGTTTCCCATTTGATTCTCCGGTTGCTTCTGCCACCGGATCTTCGTATGGTACTCCTTTTCTTACAGCGCATCGTGCCAACAACAAGGTGATGATCGGTTGATAGCTCTGCGCCTCTTTTAACACGA